GGGCTGCAGGGGGCTGGGCGGAAGCAGGGAAAAGGCGTCCCCCGGAGCAACTCACCCGTGGGGAAGAGGGAGCCCACCCGCCTGCTTCCCTTTCCCCCCCAGGACAAGAAGGGGCACAGCCTTGCTGCTGAGGAGGGAGGGAGATTTCCTTTGCACCCCTCAGATTCTGTTTCGTGGGGGGTCTTCCGAGGGCCAAGTGGGTCCCTCGCCCCCAAAACCTGACCCCCAGCCGCCCCTCCTCCTCCTTCAACTCCTCCCGAAAGGATCCTGCGCTCAGGTCCCCTGCAAGGACCACGTGGCTCTCTGCACAAAGGGGACAAGCAGCTGAGCTCTCTCCGTGGGGGCAGAAGCACGGGGGAGAGGAGGGGGCACCAAAGGGAGGCAAGGAAGAAACTGGGGGGCGGGGCGGGGCGGGCGCTCTCTCCTTCACCCCCTGCTACACCTCCCCTCCTTGCACTCTGCTTTGGGTCTTGCATTGCGGCCCCCAGACCCTTATTCCCCCCCCCCCAAAAAAAAACCTCTTGGCGCTCACCCGAGTTCGAGCCCTCCAAGCCGAAGCCGAAGCCCGCGCCTCTTGGCAAGGGGCGGGGAACGAGATGGCCCCGCCCCTCCCCAGCAGGCCCCTCCCACCAGGCGCCGCGCTCAGGCTGCGGAGCTCTCTCGCGCTCTTTAACCCTTCGAGGCCGGGCTCGTTTCGCAATAGGAAAAAGGAAAGTGGGGGTGGGTGGGGGGTGGACTGCAGCTGCCGGGCTATTGCAGAAAACCGCCGGGGGAAGGCCATCCGAGATTAAATGCACTTGAAATGTCGGAGTATAAGATGTATTAAGTAAACGTTTAAAAGTGCAAATACGTCGATAAGGAGTTGCTGGTCCACAACCCACCACAAATACAAATACACTCTGTGCTCATGGCATACCACCAACACAGGGATAGAAATAAACATATATTGTGGAAGGCTTTCACGGCCGGAGTTCATTCTTGGCAAGGGGCGGGGAACGAGATGGCCCCGCCCCTCCCCTCCCCGCAAGCCCCTCCCACCAGGCGCCGCGCTCAGGCTGCGGAGCTCTCTCGCGCTCTTTAACCCTTCGAGGCCGGGCTCGTTTCGCAATAGGAAAAAGGAAAGTGGGGGTGGGTGGGGGGTGGACTGCAGCTGCCGGGCTATTGCAGAAAACCGCCGGGGGAAGGCCATCCGAGATTAAATGCACTTGAAATGTCGGAGTATAAGATGTATTAAGTAAACGTTTAAAAGTGCAAATACGTCGATAAGGAGTTGCTGGTCCACAACCCACCACAAATACAAATACACTCTGTGCTCATGGCATACCACCAACACAGGGATAGAAATAAACATATATTGTGGAAGGCTTTCACGGCCGGAGTTCATTGGCTGCTGTAGATTTTCCGGGTTGTCTGGCCGTGGTCTTGGCACTGGAGGTTCTGACCTTTCGCCAGTAGCTGTGACTGGCATCCTCAGAGGTATAACACAGAAAGGTGGAGTTCTCTCTGTGTCAAGGTGGGAAGAAGAACCGTAGGCAGGTAGTTTATATCTACTCAGGAAGGTGGGGTAGGGCTGAGTCATTATCTTGTAGGAGTCCCCCAGGCTGTGAACGTGCTAATGGAGCTTTCCTGAGGAGGTTCTTTTGGATCCAGGAGAGGGCGGGGTTTGGGGAGGGGAGGGGCCTCAGCAGGGTACAGTGCCACATCGAGTCCCCCCTTCAAAGCAGCCATTTTCTCCAGGGGAGCTGATCTCTGTCAGCGGGAGATCGGTTGTAAACGCGGGAGATCACCAGGCCCCACCTGGAGGCTGACAACCCTACCTCCACGCAGTGAGGGACCGGGAGCCTGGACTCTTCCTCCGTGCACAGGAGCCGGTGGAGGCACAGTGTGGGGCCAGCTCCCCCGTCCCCACACATGCTCTCCTTTTCTTGCATCGGGGAAATTGTCCCAGGGGTTAAATGGCGGGTGTCACGGAGTCACCAGCCTGACCCCGTGGGTGCCCAGGGCCAATGTGCACAAAGGACCAAATCCTTGTTATTAAAAAGATATATATTTATGAAGTTTATTGAAAGGTGAGATAGAATAATGAACAAAGCAATAAAGCTAGCTTTAATCTACCCAACACTGGTTTTAAATCTGGTTAGGGGGCACAAAACTTACACCCAACCGACCGGTTTCTACTGGATGCCTGAAGCTAAGAGACAGCCAAAGGCCCTTGACTTCCCCACATAAGCTCCCTTGCTGATCATTTCAACAGATGGACGGACTCGGCTTTTTCTTTTCTGGCCCTGAGGGTCCTCCTGCCCCCTTGCCCCCGGTCATTTTTGTGTTGAAACTGGCCCGGGGTCACAGGCATGAGCAAAAATACAAGTGTTCCTGGGACTGTGGCCTCTTCCAAGCAACCAGTAAAATCCCCGGCCTTTCGTAGGAACGGGGCGTTCCCCTCCACCCCGGAAAAAGAGGTGCGGCTTCCCTGCTCTTCCGCAGCTGCTACCGGGCATCCCCTCGTTTAAATCTTATCATTAACATGTTAATTTTTTTGTGATGCCACACGTCATGTCATGCTCTCCTGGTGCCCCTCGTGAACTTTGAGACATTTTTGGAGAATTTCGTTTCCACAAAGAGGTTCCGGAACTCCGTCCTGGCGTGTCGCCCAGAACAAAAGGCCCGCATAGGGCTCTGGCACTGGACACTTCCACGATATCTCACCCTGCTTATCTGTATTTTACCGTGCTTTCATGAATGCAGGATGGCTCCTCCTTACCTTGACCTCCTGATGTTGCCATGTGGATCCATCCCATAACAACCATGTGGCTGGACTACTGTAATACATTCCACATGGGTCTGCCCTTAACGTCAGAAACTCCAGCTGGTACAGAATACCACAATTCCATTCTCCCCACCATCCTGACATAGGGCCCCCGCTAAGAGAATCTCCCAAGTCTACTGAAATTCCCCCCCCTCCAAGCTAAAGAGCCCTTTGAAATAAGGAAAAAGAGGAATAAATACAGAGACTTGGAGTTGTTTTTACAAAAGAATAACATCTCTTACAAATGTATTTTACCTGAATAATTACTCTTCAAATATAAAGACAAGGAGGAAAAAATTGACTCCATTATGAAAGCACGAGAGTTCTTACGACAACAACTGGGACCAGCGGGAGAAGACGATGAGGATAAAGGAACTGGTGACGAATCACGTACTGAAGAAGGCTAGGACTCGGAACTTGGGGCAGCGGCCCCTAAGCAAGGATACCGATTGAGGGAAAGAAGATATAAAAAATGAGATGCTGATTCTCTCTGAAGTTTGCCTTTAACTTTACAATTGAGTTTTGTGTTGAACCTTACTAAGTCAGATTATCTGGACTCGAAATATATAAGCGTTTTTT